CCGGTCCCTCCTACAGCCCAACCCTCCAGCCCCCATCCCTGCCCCGTCCTGCCCCTTCCTCAGCATGACCCTGCCCCTAGCCCGGCTGCTCCATGTCCTGCCCCTCATGCTCCTTTGCTCACCTTCCCAGTGAAGGTCCTGCACCCTACATGCACTGCCATGGGGGAACCAGGCTTCCCTTAGACCCACACCCCAAGGCTGCACAGCTGAGGGAGATGTTTGAGGTTCTCAGGTGCATTGGGGTCTATCTGCTGTTCCCGCCTCTGGCCACACACAAGAGGAGGTATTCACAAGACGATGGTATTCATCCTGGCCCAGAACCAGGCAGGGTGCAGGTGCTGTCAGATTGGAGAAAACTGGCTAAAATATCCATGTTTATGAGGGGGCAGGGAAGGGCTGGTGCTGGTGCTGGTTGAGTGAAATGCTGGGAACACAAACCCCTGCCTTGCTCTTCAGGGATGCTGGGGGTGCAGCACCCACCCCACTGCTGCTGCCCCATCATGAGACTGGAGTGAGCTGAGTGAATGCAGGGTCTAGGTGGCAGGGGGATATCAGGGAGTTTCTCTCCTGCAAGGAGCCTGTGCTTTCACCACGGGCTCACCTGGCTGCTTTTAATGCAATGCTTTTCACAAGAGCCTGAGTGGGTCTGGCACTTAGTGCAGCTCTGCTCTTACCCAACCTTGCACACAGCATGTCCGAGGCTGATGTCTCACAATACCCTTCAACCTTTCTCTGGTCCTGATGGTGAGGCTCCAGCTCCCCTAAAACCAGCTCAAGCTGCTCCTGCCCTGCCCCGACAATGTCTGCAAGGGCTGGGAGCTGCAGGAGGCCCTGCTATGGGAAGTCCACCCTTAGAAGCCTCTGTGTGTGCAACTAGAAGTGAAAAGGCAGCTTTCTCCTTATCACAGGCTTGCTCCTACAAAGCAGAAGCAGAACTCAGCATGAGTCTGCATAGTTTTTGCCTTCCTCCCCCTTCCCCACCAGCTGCTCTAGTGGTGGGTGATGTCCCTGGGGCTGGGGACAGCATTTGTGGCCCCATCGACCACCCCTGTGGGTGAGGTGTGGCGAGAGCGTGCACGGGGACCCTCAGGGTGTGCAGGGACCCTCTGGCCCCACACTGTGGACTGTGCTATTCCCCTGGGCTCCCACCTCTGCTGTTTGGCTAAACACAAGCACTGATGCTCACAGGAAGGTTGCTGAGGTTGCAGTGTGAGTGGCTGGAGGGGCAGAGCAAAGGGTGCTGGTAGCAGTGGTGGCACTGGTGTGCCATCACTTCCATCGCGCTGTGCTAGGGCATTAGCACCAGTGAAGCACACTCCTGTGAGGGGCCAGATCCTGACTCACTGCTCTTCAGCACCCTGAAGCATCTCTACAGACCTCTCACAACCTGCTGTGGGGAGCAGTGCTCATCCCCATGTGCCAGGAGGGCAGAGATAGGCTGCTGGGAGGGAAATGTATGAGGGTGGAAGGGACACCCTCCCACACACTCTGGGGCACCCCCAGAGTGGCAAGTCACAGTCTCATCCTGTGGCTGAGTGTGACCATGAGTTCCCACAACCCACATCCTGATGGCTGCTGACAGGCCAGTTCAGCACAGAAAATCTCCACTCATCCCTTCTCCCTCCACAATCACATAAGTGCCAGGACTCGGGCTTGGTTTCCCTGGCAGGGGGAAAGCTTCTTCTAAAACACCCAGCACCCCGTTCCCAATGGGAGCTGCCCAGCTGGGAGCTGCCCAGCTTGGAGCTGGGATATCCCTCACCCATGGGACCACCATGACTCGAGACAGGGAGAATGGGGCACAGCAGAGTGCTGGGGCTCATGGTCCCGATGTGGGTGGTGGGGCTGAGAGTTGCCCAAGACGTATCCATGAGCTCAGGCAGTCCAAAGCATGAGATGAGAGTGCTGAGGCACAGGGTACCCAGAGAAGCTGTGGCTGCCCCATCCCTGGCAGTGTTCAAGGCCAGGTTGGACACAGAGGCTTGGAGCAACCTGCTCTAGTGGAAGGTGTCCCTGCCCGTGGCAGGGGTTGGAACTGGATGAGCTTTAAGGTCCCTTCCAACCCAAACCAGTCTGGGATCTTGTGATCCCAGGGATGCAGTCTCATCCTCCCCCAGCCAGGCTGTGTTTGACACTGAGGCACTGGAGTGGGCTGCAGAGCTGTGTGCAGGCAGGACTGGGGACCCATGCCATGCTCCCCCTGACCCCTATCCATCGGGTGCCAGCTGACATCACCGCCTCCAGGCTAATCTCTTGTCCAGCAGCAGCTTCCCGTTTCCGTTCCAATCTCTGGAATGGCTCGCCTCTACTTGGGGCCCACAGGGAAAGCTGCCAGATGGGGCTGCAGCCCCTGTGTGTCTGCCCATGGCCCACCGGGCTGTGGACCACGCATAAGGGCACCCAGGGGGCTCCGGTCTCCCCACACGCTGCCTGCCTATCCCTCTCTCAGGCACTCTGGGATACCAACACACTGCTGCTTTCCTCTTTGTGCCACAGGAAACCGAGCAGTGTCATAGGCAAGAAACAACCATGCTGAGGGTCCAGCACCCTACAGGGTGTGGGGCAGCCCCACTCCCCAGTGCCACAGGGTTCACCCTGCTCCCTGGCCAGGGTGATGCTGGGGACCAGGAGCTGGATGTAGATCAGTGCTGGATGTGGACCAGCGGCCCTGCCACCCCAGTGGCCCTTGTCCTCTCCATGCACTCGATGTCACCGCTGAACCTGGATGTCTTGAGCATCATCCTGGGCTGGGATGTCACCCCCTGCACAGCCTTCCCTGAGGCTGGTGGGAGCGGGGACTCAGGCAGCAGCTCCTCACACCTACTCTGGGATGGCTAAATATAGCTGCATCCCTGCTGCTGCTGAGAAACCTCTGGGGATTGAGGAGAGAGGAGGCTCTTCCTGCAGCACTGAGGCTGTGCAGGGTGGTTTTCACCTCAGCACCCTGAAGGCTCAGAGTGCCAGGGGGCTGTGCCCCATTAAAGCAGCACCCAGGGGCGTTTCTGCCCATTGCTGTGGCCATGGTTCCCTACCCAGCTCTACCACAAAGCATTACTGGGCCAATCTGGGGCTGGGATGTGCTAAAATCCTCCCTCCTGTGGGTGTCCTCCCTCTGCTGGCATGGTGGGAGCAGCACAGGGCAGGGGGGGACTGAGCCCCGTGTGCTGTGAGGGAGGAGTTGCACATCCCCACCCCTTGGATGTTCCACATCTTCCCTGCAGAGATGGCTCCTTGCCCCTGCTCTGCTTGTGCTGCCAGCCCAGCTGCAAGCCGTGGGAGCTGTTGCCTTGATGGACTTCCTCTCCCTTCCCCAGCACATGTGTGGGTGATGTCCCCATGGACCAGCACATATGCAGGACATATGTGACCTTATGGTGCAGCTAAAGGGGGACAGTGAGCATCTGTGCCAGGGATGCTGGGATGGGGGTCCGGATGAACTGGGGGGGAGAAGAACAAAGTGGGGGGGAAGCAAGCACAGGGCAGCAGCTCTCACAGCTCGGGGTGGGATCACAGGGGGTTGGGGTGACCAGGGTTGTGAAGCTGAGTTGGTCGGAAGGGCCCCAAAAGAAACAGTGGCTCTGTGGATGCTGCCGGGGGGGTCATCCCCCCCATTGCCTAGGCTCAGCATGTCTGCCGTGTCCTGGCCATGTCCCTGTCACCTGGTCTTCACCTTGCTGGGACAGGTCTGCAGCTGAACCCCCCAGCACCATCAGCAGTGACAGCCCTGTTTGCATTGGCCTTGTACAGATCAGGATTAAACCCATGTGGGGCAGGAGCCCAGCAGCCGCAGGCAGCCTTGGAGCATGGGGGGGAGCAGAGGGATGGAAAACCCAGCTCTTGTCAGTGTATTCCCCAGCGGTGTCTGTCTAGACTTGCTTCCCATTGTCCGATGGAAGCTCCTCCGTGTCCATGCACACTCACACGGGTGTGCAGAGCCCAGCATCTGCCTCTCCTGCCCCATCACTGGCCATCACGTTTCTTGCTGAGCATCACCCTTGGGTGCTGGGGGGTGAGCAGAGGGATGGAAAACCCAGCTCTTGTCAGTGTATTCCCCAGCGGTGTCTGTCTAGACTTGCTTCCCATTGTCCGATGGAAGCTCCTCCGTGTCCATGCACACTCACACGGGTGTGCAGAGCCCAGCATCTGCCTCTCCTGCCCCATCACTGGCCATCACGTTTCTTGCTGAGCATCACCCTTGGGTGCTGGGGCTCTGTGGCTGGCCTGGCCCTCCTGTCTGACCAGGACCTAGTGCTGTACAGCCCTAGGGAGGGCTCGGCATCAGCACCATCCTGTGCCAGCCCAAAGCTGTGTTGTGCACACAGCAACCCCTTTATTGTTGTGCCAGAAACCACAGCAGCGGCAAACACCGAGAGAGTGGGGACAGAGGCTGCCAAGACCCCACTGCCAGGACAAGCCCCCCCAACACCTGGAGAAGGGGTCCCCCGAGCCAGTTGGGCTAGAGTCAGCCTCAGAGGTGAGCCTGATGCCCAGGAGAGGACCTGGGAGCGCTCCCTGAGATAGGGGGGTCACATTAAAACTGGGGGGACTTGGTGGGCTGGAGTGGGTCCAGCCTGATGGTCGGGCTGTCAGAGCTGGAGCACAGGCCAGAGCGGCTTAGTGAAAGCCCTGTGCTGCTGCAAAGCCTGGGCAGGACCCCCATAGATCCCCCTACTTCTGGACCTTTGGGGGACACCCCTAGAAGGTCTTACAGTGGCAAAGGGATATCCTGGTGCCAGGAAAGCTCCTACCCACCCCATGAAGGGTTCCCCTTCTGTCTGCCCAGCCTCTCCTTGGGGCACCCGCTCCCACTTCCAGCTCTATATCCTGCATGGGGACATCATTTCCCATGGGGCAGTACCTTGCTGCACTGCTAAGGGGGTCTATGATGAAGGAGTTGGGGAGCAGACATGATTATTGGGGTGCAGGGAGCCAAATTCCCACCCGTGCCCCCCTGGCTGCCAAGCCTCAGTCACAAGGGGGTCCCCCTACGAGATGAGGGCTCAGGCCTCATGGTCACTGGTGCTCAGGTGGTCCTCGGGCAGCCCGGTCTCGTCGATGTTCTCCAGAGAGTCTGCGTGCTGCACCGAGAGCTCGGCCAGGCTGACGCTGGGCAGCGTGTTCTGCTCTGGGTACACCCAGGGCTTGTACCCGGGGTCGTGCTTGCGTTTCCACTCTGGGTACTTCAGCCCAGCCTTGTAGATCTTCTTCATCGCCTGTGGGCAGAGTGGGATCAGACCGTCACAGTGCCCCAGGTCCCCAGTGGGGATGGAGCAACCCGGCCTGTGGGCACTGCTCCCAGCTGCCCCATTGCTTGCTATTTGGGGGTGCTTGGAGGGGATGGGGGCTTAGTGGTGGCTTGGACCACACAAACCTGCAAGCCCTGGGTCACCTAGCACCCATCCTGTGAGGCCTGGGTCACCCAGCATCCATCCTGCCCCTAACCTAGGGGCTACTTCAGGGTAGCTCACCCCTGATACCCTTGCATCCCACCACCGGCCACGCATCCTGCTTACCTTTGGTGCCACAAACTGGGAGACACGGTTCACCACCCACTTTGGCAGCGACCCTGCAAGAGCACAAAGCCCCATCACTCAGGCGATCTGGGCCCAAAGCCCCAGAGGAGGCAGTGCCCTGTGCAAGACTGAGCATCCACCCAGCACTGACGGCTCCTGCCCCATGCTGTGCCCCGGGAGTGCGTCCCCTTCTTCCCTTGGTTGTCCCCGCTTCCCTTTGGTGATGGAGACCCACAGTGGGTGAGCTCTGGGGGTGCAATGGGGGCATGCTGCACCCCCCTCCTGCAGGCACTCACCACGAGGGTCCACCTGGGTGAGATAATATAGGACGCAGGCACCGGCGCCGTTCGCTTTGATGAGGTAACCTGTCTGCAGAGACACAGCTCTCACGAAATCCTTCCGGGGGGGATACTTCTGCAGAGAGACCCCGTGCACCTCAGAGCCTGCCCCAGCTGCTGCCCAGCCCTGCCTGTGCCTGCAGGCACCAGCACCCTGCCAGGGCTGGGGCTCACCGGGTGCTTGACGCTGTAGTTGATGATCATGTAGTCATTGCCCAGAGGCAGCCAGGAGCGCAGGGTGACGAAATCCCTGTTCTTCAGTGGGCTCGGGCATTTCCCTGCAGATAGACCCTGTTACATCCCAGCTCATTGCACCTCGTGGCGCCATAGCCATGCACAGTGCTGTGGGGTCAGGGAGGGGGTCCCTAGGGGCTGCTCACAGGAGTAGTATCCCACATCAGCGTTCACCGTCAGGCGCCCAATGTCATAGGTCTCGATCATGTTCGAGTCCCATTTCTTGCGGTAGTCGGTGTCGTGCAGCACGTCATAGAGCGTCTCGGCAGGGACGTCCTTGCAGGAGATGCGAGTCTGGGGGGTGACAGGCAGTGAGGCAGGGGGGGAAGCACCCACCCCAGAGCACAGAGCAGTGCCTATCTGGGGATGAGGACTTCAGGCTGTTCCTGTGTGCGGTGGCATGTCCCTGTGCTGCTGTAAACCCATGTACACGTGCGCCATGGAGGATGCTCTGCACACACACGGTGCAGGGCATGTCCCAGCTTCAGGACAGCCCAGGGTAGCCAGAGGGTACCCAGGGGGTAGAAGGACCCTCTGTCCTCAAACGGAACTCCCTGGTGGTCCAGGCTCAGCTGCATGGGCACCCCGAACCCAAACCTGCTCAAGCACAGGGATGCTCCTGCCCTGGCACAGTGGTTTTGGTGTGGGGTCCAGCCCAGGAGGGTTGGTGGGGCCCCGGCTGTAACTGGAGCCGTGGAGCTGCCCGACCTGGCAGCAAGTGCATTATTGATGAGCTGGCCACTCGGTGCTGGGAGGAGGGAGATGTCATCTGCTCCTCGTTAGAGGCCTTGCATCTTTGATGAGGTGCTCAGCACTGACGGGTAACTGGAGATGCCCCTCTGAGCGTGGCAGGTCCCATCAATCTCAGGCAAGCGTTCCCCGATGGCCCCGGTGACGGTTTCTGCCCCATGTGCTGGACTCGTGCCCAGGACAGGCTTGGAGATGTGCTGCAGCCCCTGGGGCACCAGGGAGGAGATTGTGGGAGCACCCAGCCCCCTCCTCTGACCCCCAGGCCTCAGCATGCGCAGCTCAGCTTATGGGTGGCATCCTCCATTCTGCGCTTTGGGAAGGGTCCCAAACCCCTTAACCATGCCCAGGTTCTCTCCAGAGCAGTGAAAAAACACCTCAAGGAGGTATTCCTTGCAAGGAACCAGGGTGATGGTGCTCAGACACCCCAAACCTGCCTCTCTATGGGGCTTGGTGGTGGCAAAAGAGGGGGTATAACTGCACCCCCTCTGCTGGGCTGGGCATGTTTGACCTTGGCTGGACTTCATGAGGTTCCTGTCAGCCCGTCCAGGAGCAGCTTTGTCTCCAGCACGTGAAGTGCTCTCCACGCTTCAGTCCTGCACACACTGCAGACTTGCTGATGGGGCACTCAATCCCATCATCCCAGTAACAGGGTGGGATCCAGCAACTGACTGCCATCCAGACCCTGCACTGCTGACCACCAAGCTGTAAGCCTGGCACTGAGCTGGTTTTCCACCCATGTTATCATCATCTGCTTCTCCAGTCCAGATCTCATTAATGTGGTGATGAGGAGACTATGGGAAACCCTGCCAAAGATTTTACTAAAGTCAAAGTACAGGGCTTTCACTGTTCTCCCCACACCCAGCCAGCCAGCCAACCCTCTCAGTGAAGGAGGCAATCAGGCTGATCTACCATGATTTGCCCTTGGTAGGTCCCTGCTACTGTTAGCATTGCCCTTGTCCTTCAGGATATGGCTTCCAGAAGAATCTTCTCCTTCCCGTTCCCAGGGATGGACACACCAGGCCTGTAGTGCCCTGGAGCATTCTTCTTGCCCTTCTGGAAGGTGGATGTGACATTTGTCTCTTCCCAGTTATCAGGGACCTCCTGCAGTCACCAGGACTTTTCAAAGAGACATTGACCAGACCCCTCAGCACCCCGGGTGCATCCTGCCTGGTCCTGTGAACTTGTGCATGCTCAACTGGCTTAAGCACTCCCTGATCCTAGCCCAAAAGCTCTGCCCTGGCTCACAGCAGCAAGGCAGCATGTATTGCAGCTACAACTCTGTAAGGAGTGCTGCTCCTCCTCCTCACCCTGCCCTGAAGGGCCTCCATCCATGGCAGCACTGCAATCATCGTGTGCCCAGCTCCACCTTGTGCCTGCTGAGCTGCAGGCACACGAGATGGGCTGGCAGTTACTCTGTGTCCAGGAGAGAGGTGCAAGAGTCTTTTCCAGCATAGTGTACCCCAGACACCCCCACCACCTCCCCATGCTCTTCAGGTCATAGTAACCCTTCCCTGACACTACCACTTGACATCTCTCTTTATCAAGCTGTCTGTTGCATAGGTAAGATGCTCCTGTCCTACTTGCTTGGGCAGAACCCACCAATGCTCAGCAGCCTTGAGCCTTGCTGGCCAGAAAAGCCACAGCCTTGCCTGTGACACCAGTCATGGAGCCAAGCATTGACTCACAGGATGATCACACCCAAGGCTTACCCTGTAATGGGGCTCCCTTGCCCCCAGCACCCTGTAACCAGTCTTGATGTACTCAGAGTCGCTTGCCACTGTCACTGGTGCCATGTAGAGGAGCAGTAAGGTGTGACAACCTGAGGGATGGTTGAACCTCATCCCAGATCCATTCTGGAGGTGAGGAAAGAATTGTTTACAATGAGGGTGCTGAGGCGCTGGCACAGGGTGCCCAGAGAAGCTGTGGCTGCCCCATCCCTGGCAGTGTTCAAGGCCAGGTTGGACACGGGCTTGGAGCAACCTGCTCTAGTGGAAGGTGTCCCTGTCCATGGCAGGGGGTTGGAACTGGATGAGCTTTAAGGTCCCTTCCAACTCAAACTATTCTGATTCTATGATCCAGCCCCTGGCAAGCAACATACACCCTAAGACAGCACATGGGGGCTCTTAAACTTTCCAAGATGCTCCCCCAGTGCAGGATGCCAGGGATGTGCCCCAGGTTGGTGTGGCTGGGGGAGAGGCAGCAGGGAGGCATCCCGCCAGCCTGTCTCATGCTCAGGGGCTCCCAGCAAGGCCATCTCTATAACGTAATCGATCCTGGGGCCTTCCCTCCTGTGTCTGGATCAAGGGCAGCCGCAATGTGAACCCACATGCGTGCATGGTAGGATGCTGCAGCGGCATCCCTGCAGGTCGAGAGGCTAAAGCCACAGGGCAGGAAGCATCAGGGCAGGAACACCCCCAGGCAGGCTGCACCAGGGTGCTGTTGCATCCCCAGGATGGGCCAGCACCCCAGGGACCCTCGGGTGCAGCTGGGGTAAGGAAGGGCTGTGGTTCCGCAGCTGCAGGAGTTTGCTTACCTTGATTTTCTGCACATTGCAGCTTTCCTCCTGGCCCTGACTCCACACGGTCACACCAGCCTTGTTATACCGACAGTGCCAGCCCTCCAGGCTCTCACACTGATCCCTGAAGGAGCTGAAGTCGGAGTCATCCGGGATATACACCATCTCCCCTCCTCTGGACATGGGGCTGCGCTGCCGGACCCAGGGTGCGGGCACTTGGCTGCAGGCAGGCTCCTTCTGCCTCACCTCCCAGGGAAACCTAGCTCTGCCCTTGAGCTCTGCCTCGCCGGGTGCCTGCTGCAGCTCACATCATCCTCCGAGCCCTGAGCTCGTGCCCCTGCAGTGGGCACCTGCTGCCCAGGCACCCAGGATGGACAGAGACCTCCAGGCACCCCGGAGCAGCGGGGAGGAAGGCTCATCGCAGCTGCTGGGAGCTCGGATGTCTTCTCCGGCTGGCTCCCAGGATCACGTTTCTCCCCGGCTGGCTGTCAGCTCCTCTATTATTCAGCAGGTAGCAGCCTGCAGGTGACTCGGCTTTCAGGGCAGAGCTGCCC